AAAGACTAAACAGTAAAAAGTGAACTTTAACATACATCAGCGAGTACTGAGGAGTTCCTGAGCATCATGGACTCTGAACTTTGCTCAGCATGTATCTGGGGTAGTGATGTTGCCAGTCATACTTTGGACTCTGTCTTCACTCGTGGTGTTGACCGTGTGAACATAAGTGAAGTTGTTCTCAGTGACCATGAGTCAGTCTCCTTTAATGTTTCCTGTAACTCAGAGTCTTTTTCTGAAGTTTGTCTTTGGCGCAGCCACTTTATCGATAACTGTGTTTTCTTCTCTTTTCAATTTTACAACTTTTTTTGATAATGTCGAGCTCCTTGTTAACTTCTTACAAACTATCCAGCTGTCAGTTCCCACTCACTCTGGTCAAATAATCAAACTCACGGCCTTCACGCCTATGGGGCGACCGTGGCTCAGGGGGTTGGGAAGCGTATCTGTAACCGGAAGGTCGCCGATCGTCGTTCGATTCCCTGGCTCTCTGTCCTGGTCGTTGTGTCCTTCGGCAAGACACTTTACCCTACTGCCTACTGGTGTTGGCCATGGCGCGATATGGCAGCCTCGCTTCTGTCAGTCTGCCCCAGGGCAGCTGTGGCTACAACCAGCTGTGGCTACAACAGTGTGTGAATGTGAGAGTGAATGAATAATGGCATTGTAAAGCGCTTTGGGTGCCTTGAAAAGCGCTATATAAATCCAATCCATTATTATAATGATGCATGAAAGAGGCTAGATACTTTTATTTCCACAATCGCATAAATTGTCAGAATAATCCAAGGATTTATATGATACTATCAAAGGTGTTGTTTCTTCTACAACTCAACATGCTGTGTTAGATGCTGATGATTCTTTCAACAGTCAATCAGTTTGTAAATGAGGTGATGGACTTCCATCCATCCATCCATCCATCCATTCGCTTCCGCTTATCCTTTCCAGGGTCGCGGGGGGCGCTGGAGCCTATCCCAGGTGTCATAGGGCGAGAGGCGGGGTACACCCTGGACAGGTCGCCAGTCTGTCGCAGGGCCAAGGTGATGGACTTGAAATCTAAAATGAAACCTTTATCATGCTCCTTAGACATATTAACCGTCTGTCCTGTCTGGGACTCACACCAGCTTTGGTCCTACAGTTGTTCTATAATCTATAATCATTCTGCTTGATCTCAGTGCATCCTTTGATGTCTTATTTTCTTCTTACATGCTTCCTTTAGCATTCTTCAATCTTTTAATGGCATTCCTTATCATTTTAATGCCGATGATATTCAGCTGCATATGTCTCATGTCTACGGCCACTGCTTGACTCAGGTTACTAAAGAAAACCAACAATTACCTTTTTTTAAAATACCAACAAGACTGAGATTATTGCTCCTCCTGAGTTACAGTCGGGCTCTTGCGTCTTTTTGCAAGACTGCTAAGTCCTGCATTTGAAATCTTGTTATATAAATCCTGTCTTCCTTCTTTCTCCCCAACCAATCACAGCAGATGGCCCCGCCCCTCCCTGAGCCTGGTTCTGCTGGAGGTTTCTTCCTGTTAAAAGGGAGTTTTTCCTTCCCACTGTCACCAAAGTGCTGCTCATAGGGGGTCATATGATTGTTGGGGTTTTCTCTGTGTGTGTTATTGTAGGGTCTACATTACAATATAAAGCACCTTGAAAAGGCTGTTGTTGTGATTTGGTGCTGTATAAATAAAACTAAATTGAATTGAATTAAATATTTGATTCTTCTCTAAACTTCGACTCACATGTCGTTGTCTCTTGTGTTAATTAGAGCACTAGGCTCCAGATTATCTCAGCTTCTTCTTCTACACTGCTGCTGCTTCTTCATTCACAGGCTCAGACTTTGTTAGTTGTTCCCCGTACGAGACTAAAGAGCACAGGGAACAGATCCCTTCTGTCTGCAACACCAAGGCTGTGGAACATTTTACATTTTGCTGACTCTGTAGATTCTTTAAAAAAATAGCTGAAAAGTTAATTGTTGAAACAAGCTTAGTGTTGAAAATGTTTATTTATTTATTATTTATGCATTTTAAAACTTCCTGTTTATAATATTATGTCTTATTGTATCTTTTTATTGGCTGTTATGGCGCTTGATGCTGTTATTTATTTTACCCACGTATGTACACTGCTTTGTGAGCGTTTGTAGTGTTTCTAGTACATCTTTAGTAAGCTCAGTTTGGCAGCAGGTACGAGTCCCGGGCTCCCCCACACCTGTCAGCACAGCATTATCAACAGCATCTGTAGTTGACTCAAGTTATAATGGTAAGCTAGCATTGTGCATGATGTTCTGCATGATTTGCATCTATTTAACTAGATTGGAAACATAAACTCAACCTTAATTATCAACAAGAGTGAATCAGAAACGATTGCAGCTCCTGCTCCCACTTCACTTTGTGCCCATCAGATATTGCATACTGCGCTTTTAAAAGCCCATAAAGACGTGTATTCAAATATGGCCATCTTAACATAATCCATGATACAGACTCGGTCCGGCTGTTTGAAACAGTACAGACACCAATTAATCACCCACAGCTTTTCACTCACACGCAGCGCCGAGGCTGTTTCTGCCTATATGCAACGTTAGTCGTAGCCCTTACCTTCCCCTTTGTCTGTGACCGATGAAAAGCAGACAACAAAGGAGGTGCCACATCGTGTTGAACCACACCATCTGAGCTGGCAGCACAGCAAAGTGTCCAAACAACCTTTCCCCAAACAGACGCCCATTCAAGCTCAGCGTAATTAGTTGCAAATGCCTTTTAGGATGAGCCAGTGATGGCTGTGAGGAGCTTGTATACACAAAGCTCGTGCTCTTTAAATGAGGGATTTTTTTCCCCATTTTTTTGTTACATTTTCTTTCATTTTAAAATGAACTCAATCTGTTGGTGCTCACGTGTAGCTCAATTAAAGTACTTTGGTCACTTTAAAGTTTTTAAACAGCGCTCTGGTTACCTTTTCATACAACAGGATTGAATGTTAGGCAGTGATATTAATGTTCTCATATAATCACAATCACATTGGAGCGGTCCATGACCTCCACACAATATGGGCTTGTTTTGTCAGAGATCAAACAAAGCGAATGAAAATGCCGTTGTGTGTGTTAGTCTGCATAATTGTCTTCCGGTAAACATGTCTGTGATGCTTCATGGTGGAGATCATGGCAGTCATGATTGTTTTCAAACCATTAAGTAAAACCTCTCTGATGAGGATCCTTTATGTTTACGTCTGTCTGACTCTTCAAAGTCATCGCTTGAGCCAACATCACAACATCACTCATGTGAAAGGAAGTGAATGGCTGAGGGTTTCTTTCTTTTACTTGTGAAAATGCACATGCACAGCATATCCTGCATGCAGGATAAATGTGGACGTTTTTAGGTGCATCTCTCTGATTTACTGTCGTGTTGCCGGTTCCACGTCACTGCATGTCAACTATTACTGTGTGCTGTTGCTGACTGCGCCCATATCCGAGTCTCTGGAGATCTGTTTTAGCCACGGAAGTAAAGGACTAAAGGGTTTAGTTTGTCTCTTACTCCTCATCTGTGGAAAACAGGAGATAACAAATACTGCGTCTCTCACAGCTCACAGAGTTCTAGCTCAGAGTTGCACAAAACTCTTTTCATTGAGTCATCAGGCCATCGGGCAAGGTGCACAGATCAGGTTCTTTCCTGTGAATTTACTCTTAAATTGTTTTCATGTATACAACCTGTCAGATGAACTGTAGGCAGATAGACGGGCAGATAATACAGCAGATGTGTGGAGCAGAGCAAAACGAGATAAAAAAAGGGAGAGAGTTTGGGACACAGGAAGCCAGGAAAGAAGAATGAAAGGCTGCACATGACTTTGACTAACCCATCCAGGTGCCATCCTACTTGGCTCAAGGAAGAGAAGGTGCACAGACGTCAGCCTGAATCAGTGCACGTATACCTGTGCTGTATCAGCCGTCGCACAGACAGAGCAGGAGGACCTGGGCTTAGGTCTTCCTCTACTGCACGGCAGATCTCCTGCTGTTCACACGGAGGGGGAGGACTGTTTGTTTAAGTGGCTCTGCATGGCAACCACTTGCAAGCTGCTCCGATGAAAACCTCTGCTGGCTCAGCATGGAGGTGGGTGGTTATCCCCAGATGAATAAACACTCACTGACATCCCCCAACCAACTACTCCCTTCCTGAGCTGTACTGTGATGTTTCAGGGGTTGCTCTCGAAGGATGGCACTCATCAGGGTTGATGGATTTCCTGCTACCTAAGAAACCAGCAGGAACAGACTTTTAACAGGTTTTTTTTCCCAATATGGTGACGTGTGCGTGTCGTTTTAATCACTGTATCAAACAACAGACGTTAGAGTTCCTCTCTAATGTGCGTTTGCTGTCATTGTCTGTTGTTTTGGTGTCTTTACTCTCATTTGTTTCTGTGCCGAGACAATTTCACTCAAGCTGAACACTTGATATGTCACGCCAAGGAAATCCACTCAGGGCAGTGATGGTGAAATTGTAAAGACACTCAGAAGCATCTCTTCATATTGCTATGCATAGCACCTTTAACATATTTACATACAATACTGTTAGCTGTAACTTTATTTAGCATCTGTGACCGATGCACAGACTCGATTCAGTCTTCAGGTTTCAAGGGTTCCAGTTTCATCCAGACTGTGTGAAGAGGTGTGGCAGTGAGCGAGCGCCCACTCACAAAGCTTATTAGATTTACACAGAGTGCATCGAGTCATTGATCAGATACCAAATGGAAAGCAAATTTGAAACTTGACTCACAGTGCTAATAAAAATACCCTCTGCATTCCCCTCAAACAGCAATATTTAGTTCTTTAAAGTGTTTACTTTTACAGTATATAGAAAAATGCAGTTTCGGCTGGTTTATTCTCAATGTACTTCAGTTAAGAGTGACTGCCTACACCGCTGAAGCTGGGCTTTAATGACTCAACTGCTCAGTCAGCTCTGTGATTCATTTGACATAATTTAGGCCGGCATGATTGCTAACCTTTGGCCTCTGGTCTTCATCAGACATGGACGAATGTGAGAACGACTACAATGGGGGCTGTGTCCACGAATGCATCAACATACCAGGCAACTACAGGTGCATGTGCTACGATGGATTCATGCTGGCCCACGATGGACACAACTGTCTGGGTAAGTCCGCTCAATTTTTCAATGCATTATTCCCCTTCATGTGCGTCTCTTATAACAGGATACAAACCTCAATGACGTTTGTGGTGTTTTTCAAAATAACTAAGCTTTATTCAAAATGAGAACACCTTGAGTATTTTGTGTCTGCATACTGCGTGCACATTTAGTGATGATGGGTAATCTATATATCTGTGTGTGTACATGTTTAGACATAGACATTAGGTTCAGACATTCCTCTCTGGTGGTTAGCGTTTGGGTAAGCGGCTATGTCAATGAGATGTCCCCACTAAGATATAAAAACAAGTATGTGTGTGTGTACTTTTGTCCTTGTACCTATTAAACTGGTCTGGCTCAGGATGCCTCGCTCGCATAGTCGCTCTGTCATCAGCTGGAGGGTTTCCATGATTTGTGCTGTTTTATGCTCTTTTCTGTGTAGTGCAGGGAGGGTTGAAGAGTTCTCCTGCAGATATCTGGCTGCGCTTTAGTACTGACAGATCAGACCATTTAGGCCGAGTGCTCTGTTATCCAGTCAGCTAGACTTCTGTGTTTTTTTCTCCTGCCCTGTGTAACATGCAGGACTGTGTGGATGTGCTCAAACACACTTTATCTCATCGGTCCTGTGCTGCTGACTGACGACCACAAAGTAACGTCAGAAACATAAGAACAGTCGTTCCAGATGCTCGTGTGTCTTTGCTGGGATGTGTTTGGCATTTGAAAGTGTTGTAACTCATTCTTTAAACTTTTAGAGAGACTAGGTGAGAGATTGATTGCTAAGGCAGCAGCTGCCAGCGGAGACTAGCTGCTGAATTGTGGATTCACCTCACAGGAATGACTGTCAGACAGCTGACATAGAGCAGAGTTAGAGCTAAAGTTGAAGGTTTGCCATTAGAATTTAATTTCATGCACAAACATGGTCAAAGGCATTATTAACTACACTGTCTATTGAGCTACATTCTTAACATTGACTGCACTACCAAACACATGACACACTTTTTTTCCATTAATAATAACTCCCTGCTAAATATTTTAAATGTAAGGCGATTAGTTTAGTTCTTCTCCTTTTTTATTAAAGAGAGGAAAGTTGATCAGTTTTCAGAAACTAAGAACAACACAGCCTTATGATGAAAGGTTGATGCTTCAGTTGACTTCCTGGTTTGTTTTGTGGTGTTTGTGATCACCCACATCTATCATATGTCTGTAAGTTACTCTATACTCACTGTGTGGCTGTCTCTGACGACCAGCTCGATCAATTGTAAATATTAAATGTTTATGCAGTTAAATGCAGTACTTTCATTCAACTAACTGATTTCCCAGACAGTGCTGGTGCAGCCTGCACTTGTTCAACTTCCCCTCTCCATCATCATCAGGCTTCCTTGCTAACACGATAAAGCACAGGTGTCAAACTCTGGCCCGTGGGCCAAATTTGGCCAAAATTACTATTAGAGCTGGCCTACTGGTATTATACAGCTAATATATATATTGTTTAGTATTAAGCTTTGCTTGTTCCATATTCAGTTTTTCAGCAAAACTTGTTTGAGTTTATAAGAAGAGATTCATTCTTTAATCTGGAGGCAGATTTTTTTTCAGTAAATATTAACGTTAGCCCGCGACTTTGTTCCAGTTTTGAATTTTGGCCCACTGTGTGTTTGAGTTTGACACCCCTGCGCTAAAGGGAACGATTAAAGGTTTCTTCACACTACAGAACTTTACACCTTTCCAAGTTTTCATTGTTTTTCTCCCCTCATTGTCTTGTTATTTAACACTAAGAGGGCGCGCTGTGCTTGCACGAGCTATTCTGGCCTTTTAATTCATTGTAAGTCAGCATCTAGTGGTCATTAAAGGAACTGCATTTCAATCGATTCTCACGAGTTTCTCCGGGTTTCAGACTTGAACTCTTTTGAAATGTGTTAAATGTGACTGGGCTGAGAGAGACATAATGGCAGCAGCTATAAAAATGTAACCCTGCTTGTTAAAGAGATTTTCCCTGAGAACTTGCCAGTTTTACATGTGGAGCAGTGGGTTGGTGGGAAGCTGTCACCATAATTATGTGTTGCTGTGTTTTGTGTTGTTTATTTTCTGCTGGCTTGTCATCCTGTGCCGCTAGCTTGGTTAGCCGTTGCGTGGTCCTTAAAAAGAGGGCATGTGGTTCGTGGCATTTCACCGCACGTGTTTGTGCCACTAATTCAAGTGATACCAACTGACTGCTGTGGGAACTGTCATCGGTCGCTCTTTGCAGCCCAGTGACAGGAAATCAGTGCGAGACTTGTTTTATTAGATGGTGGCTGAAATTGGCTGTTATGAACTGCTGCTAATTAAAACCAGGTTACTGAGTTCAAACGAGGCAGTAAAGTGTGAAATCAGATGCAAGATGCGTGTGATCACAGTCAGACCGCTACCAGCTACTTGTTTGCCTTTCCTAATTCCTGCATTCCTGTCCTTTTTCTCTGTATTTTGGCATTTGTCATTCAGTTCTCTGTTCTTGTTGATTAGCCATTTTCCCCCTCTTTTTATTCTCCTGTTCATAAATATTCCATGCCTTTATTTTGAAAGGATGTTCTCTGATGGTGACCAGTATCTCTGCCTCACAGTTTTTCTTTACCTCCATCTTTTTACCCAGTGCTTCCTCTGTTGATCTGTGACATGCTCTTTTTATCCTCCCACCTTTCTCTGTCATGTTTTTAGCATGTTTCTAAATCTTTGTCTTATTACCAGTGTTGGTCAAGTTACTTGAAAAAAGTAATCAGTAACTAATTACTGATTACTTCCCCAAAAA